TGGGGCAGTCTGGGAAGCCGCCATCGGGGACAAAGAGAGGGAATTCAGCTGTGGTGGGGGAGCCGTGCTGTGCAGAGACGCTGCTGCGGGTGCAGTTAGTTACCGGGGTCAGTGTTGCAGCAGTTTCAATGTGGTTAATAGACGTTGCAGCTCAGCTGAGGGAAGTGCTGCTCTTCGCGCAGCTTTCAGAGTAGCAGCCGTGTTAGTCTGTATCCGCAAAAAGAACAGGAGAACTTTAGTCTCTAAGGTGCCACAAGTACTCCTGTTCTTTTTGCGGATACAGACTAACACGGCTGCTACTCTGAAACTTAGACTCCAAGTGAGTTTAGGTTTTTGCTACTAGTAGCAGATTCTGATGGGAAGCAGTTCCTGACAGGATGACCAGCTTCACCTGCCTGGAGCTCAGCCCCTTCTCCACCTGTGCTCCAGTGCTGGAGTTCCCCCCTTCTCCCTCGCTCAGACTCCCTGTCATGAACCCTGCCTTCCCCTGTATGAAATATGGAGCAATAATATATGAGAGAGCCAACAAGGGCCTGATCCTGCAAACCCTCCCATTTCACACATCACATTGGTCTCAGGGGGTGCTGCTGTGACCATAGGCACCAACTCCATGGGTGCTCCGGAGCTGGAGCACCCACAGAAAAAAATCCGGCAGCTCCTCTACCCCCTCGCCCCCCCCCCCGCTCCAGCTTACCTCCACCTCCTCTGTGAGCGTGCCGTGGCGTCCTGCTTCTCCCCCCTCCCTCCCAGTGCTTGCGCCATGAACCAGCTGATTCACGGGGCAGGATGGGGAATGCGTCGCGCTGGGGAAAGAGGCGGGGCCAGGGCAGGGATTTGGGGAAGGGATCCAATAGGGGCAGGGAGGGGGTGGAGTTAGGGCAAGGACTTTGGGGATGGGATTGGAATGGGGGCGGAGCCGGGGTGGGGAAAGGGTGGAGTCAGAGCGGGGCCAGGGGGGCGTGGGCACCTACAAGCGCCAGAGAAAGTTGGCGCCTATGGCTGTGACTAAGGACTGCTGGGGAAGTGGCTGGGGAGTTGGGGAGTTGCAGGGGGTGTCAGTGGCTGGGAGCATCTGTGCTGAGCGGCAGGGACACGGCACCTGATCTGGGCGATGTTCCCCCACCTGCTCCTGTTCCCTGTTTTGGAAGGAGCGGGGCTGTGGGGAGGAGAACTCATGTGATTCACAAGGATCCAGCCCTTTGGCTCAATGCCCAGGGACTCTTCCTCTCCGGCTTCCTGCTGATTACAGCAGTGACGGGACCCTGCTGCCTCCCTCCAGGAGCTGCCTTCAGCACCAGCCTTGAGCCCCCCAGAGACGTTACTGAAATTCAGATTTGGCCATTAAAACTCCCTCTGAGGTCAGGGGTGGGGGGACTTTCTCCAGTGGCTGGAACCAGCCCCAGGCTCTGCTGACACCAGCTCCTGAGCCTGCAGCTGAGGGGAGCAGGGGCGGCGAGTTGTATGGGCCCGTGGTGCCCGGGCTCATGAATATTCAGGGCCCGTGGGCCTGGCTCCACCAATGTCTCCTCCGGCCCCACCTGCCATCTCTGCATGCCTCCCAGCCCCTCCTGCTGCCCCAGGGTGACTTTAATGGGCCCCCAGCTGCCGCTGCCACCACCACCGGCAGCACAGTGGGACTGCCCATGTTACAGAGCTCTCCTGGCGATAAAAAATAACCACCCGGAATGGTTATCATTGGGAGTGCGGCTCCTGGCGATAAAGCGCTGCCTATACTGGTGCTTTTCAGTGCTAAAACTTTTGTCGTTCAGGGGTGTGTTTTTTCACTCCCCTGAATGACTAAAGTTTTAGCGTTGAAAGTGGCAAGGTAGACACAGCCTAACGGGGCTTCCTGCCTACCTGCTCTGCGCCTCTCTGGGAAGCGGCCAGCACATCCCTGTGGCCTTGGGGGGGCGCCATATGTTGCCCCCGCCCTGAGCACAGAGCCGCTGCCAGAGGGGTGTGCGGGTCGCTTTCAGGAGCTGGCGCTGCCCGATTTAAGCGCAGACCTACTGACCCCCTCCTGCACCCAAC